TCCCTTCTGTATTCAGCCTGTTCCAAAATGGGCGCTCTTTTGCTAGTATTTTTTACCATTTGAGTAAACTATTTTCATATATTGTAGACGGTGAGATACGCCATTCCACAGTTGCTGTTGCTGAAAGTGAGCGGGGAAGTCTTATACTAACACATACAGTCAGAGCTATGATAACTCTCCATCATACCTTTACTAGAGCAGAAGTCTGAACTCCCAGTGCAGGAAATTGCTGGGGATGACTGCAATTGAAGTCAAACTCTGTATAGACTTATAAAGAAGAGCAGAGGAAAAAGGGAGCCAAAAACACAAAAGCAGAGAGATGACTATTCTAGAATATCCTATGTAAAAACACAGAGCTGTTATCAGGAGGAGACATTTGAAAATGATTTTTATTAACATTTAAGTAAATCCAAAGCCAAAACTTTTGTTTTAGGTTTGGATATTGTGGAGAGGGATTATAACACCTATGAGGTATGTCTGTGAAGGTTCTCAATCATCCAGGTCATGGTATATCTGTAAAAAATAAGTCAGGGCAACTGGACTTGCTGTATTTTTCTTGTAGACGTTTCACTGGTCATCCAACCAGCTTTCTGAATTGAGAAAGCCGGTTGGATGACCAGTGAAACGTCTTCAAGAAAAATACAACAAGCCCAGTTGCCTTGACTTATTTTTGACAGTAACACCTATGAGGTTCTTATTGCTGTCTGTGTCTCCGTTATGGAGATTCACCCTTGATGCCACCAGAATAGGAAGAGAGGTGAAATCTTCCACTGAAGACACTCTGGTGACAACTAAGAGGGGATTTCCCTTACTTTGGAGAGATGTCCTCTCACTTCATGCTGTGGCTATGGGACAGGAAGTGAAGGGAAATTTCCCCAATAGGACACACATGGCAGAAAGAGTCACTTATAGAAACGCACACTACTTAATATACTACGTGCAAAAACGCTGTCACCTAGGTGTGAATCAGGCCTTACTCTATCTACAATGAAGAACAAACGTGGGCTTTAGTTATACTTTAGGATACAAATTATAGCAATTCTATCCATTCCATTTTCTTTCAGAGGGTTTTCCTTTAAGGGATGTTCTCTTGACTAATACCTAGTAAGTGCTTTTGGATATTAGGGCTAGACTACACTACAGGAACGATTTTAATCTGAACAGGGCAATCTGATCTCCTGCTGACAAATGCTTCATTTAATCAGATTCCCTTCAATTCAAAATGTTGCAGATTGCGGACATTAAGCTCAATTGTTCATTATCATGAGAGTAAAGAGACATTCCAGCCAGCAAATGAAATCAGTCACCTAATGTCTGCGGCACTTTGCAGCTGTACTAAAGCAACAAACCTCCTTCTGAAAACACTACTTCCTGACTGTCTTTAGCTGCAGAACTTTCAAAGTCAATTTGAAAGTCAAGACTGCAAGGATATAGGTTAGAAATCAGAGTCAGAACTCCTAATCTGCATATTCCTCTAGATCAGCTGATTGTATTAAAACCATTGGATCAGCATGAGAGTCAGGCAACAAACATTTTCAGAAGATGTCAGTAATAGCAGCCTCCATAATATTGTCCAGTCTAGGACTCTGGGAAAATCAAATCTTAACCCTGGCAGTGCTCATTTTGCCTAGGGAGCTACAATAACAGAGATACTCACCTGAACTGAGATCCCCCGGTTCCTTCTGTCTGTCCCCACCTCCAATCAGTGTGTTCGAATGCCCCTCAGTGTCCTCACATCCTATACACTGTATAGAACGTGATGACTCACAGGACCTTAGATTAGAGGAGCGGACGAGGAGACAGGCTGAAGGCACCGGCGTAGGAGCCAGCCGGGGTCACGGTTCGGGTGAGTATATCTCTGATATTTCTGCTCCTTTGGCAAAACGAGCACTTAACCCTTGCAGTGCGGGAGTAACCCCACTGCAAGGGTTAAGATTTGTTTTTGCCCAGAGTTGTTCTTTAAGGTAATCTTAACCTAATAGCAAAAATGTAATGGATAACATCCTACCATACCTTAGCAGTAGTTTTTTTTTTCAAGCCAATTACATTTTACGCAAGTAAAAAAAAAAAAAATCTGTTGATCCTGCCAGCAATCTGGTATCCTTGAAATTTCCTGTGCTCAAACAATGTTATAAGCCTTCCCAACTGTCTTCTGTGGAATACGGAATACATCCCCCTGATGTAACGGAGAGGAGGAGGTGTTTGTACTTGAAATCAGGAGAGCAGCCTAGAGTGACAACACTGCTTCTCTACAGTACTGTGCGTGACCGTTGTCACCCTAGGACAGACGTGTGTTATTGACAGGATCACCTAATGAAAGTAAAGGAGTAAAAAGCCTGAAAGAAGAACACACATCAGCCATCACATCTAAGGCCTGGTAAGTTGCAATATATTGAAATGTTGTTTTTGGGTTAAGATATACTTTAAAGAGGAGGATAACCAACTCCCTGGAAAGATTCTGCCGAGCCGAGCATACATATTTATGCAGCACTTTGAAGCGTTTTGCCTGAGGGCTGCCGGATGATGTAAGCATGTTCTACTTCTCTCTGTAGTTACCTTTACTTCAATAATAAAAAAAATCCCACCATTAAGGCTTTTGAGATAGTCGGACTGTACGGAGCATTATTAGAGGATTTCATCTTTTAAAAAGTAGCTGAAAGTGGCAGCCCTGTAATACTCCAGACTTGTATATTATTCACCCCATTATCCAGTCTGACCGCGAGAAGGAACAAGGAAAATGGATTCTTTTCCAGACACCATCAATAAAACCACTAATCCAGTCATCTCTCCTTAGTTACATCACACTCACATCTCCAATACCATGTAACCTAAGAAAGATAATGGTACCCTGAGTAACCTCTTACATGCAAGGTGTCACCTCTCTGGTATGTTACACAGAGGCCAGATGTGATGGTTAGCTCTGGGAAACACTAATGACATCGGCGGGGAGATGTACAAATATCACACAGTAAAAGCTGCTCACGGTGAATGTTTACTTTGCACAACAAATCTTGGTAAATAAGGTGAACTTACAGTATGTTTACTTTGAATACCCAATCATGCATGGGGGGGATTTACAAAATAGAGCTTTTGCCAGCACACGATTGGTTATTTAAAGGTTCACCCTACGTACCAACTCTATTCTTAGTAAACCAAAGCCATTGTTTTGGTGATTTATGTAATGGTCTTTATTATTCCAGGCACTCGGTATGTAAAGTCTATGTGTAGTTTTAGAAACTTTACTGTAAAGGGAAATGTGCAGGGGTGATAGGAATGGTCTTTCCTTGTTATTCATATTTTCTTAGCTCTGAAAATGTTACGGGTACCTTTAAGCCTCACCCTCATACAATGTAACTGTGTAAATGTTGCACATGAAGTTAAAGTCCATTAAAGTGTATATGTAGTAACAAGTTTCAGATAAAGTGAGCAAAGGTTAAACACCCTCTCAGTTTTTGTTTTCTGTTTTAGTTGGGGAGGTTAGACACTTCTGAAATGTTGAATGACAGCTGAGCTTGTCCCACCTAACTTATTACAGGAAAAGGTTCTCGGGTAACCACTGAACAATTTTCTTTTTAGCTGTCCCCAATGTAACAGGGTATTCTTCCTACTGACCACCAGTGTAAATGGTATTTCACCCACTCTCCACCAATATAAAAGGCATTCTTCCTCCCACTGAACACCAAAAAAGTGACATTCTTCCCATTGACCCCCCCCCCCCCCCCCTCAAATGGGCT